CCAGAAAGACCTACTCTTCCATATACCAAAAGATAATGACCACATTCGGGGGTTCCTACAGAAAAAACTACCTGAAAACGGAAAAAATCGAAAATCGACGAAAGTCCTAAAATTCGAAAAGTCTCGAGAAATTCGGAATAAAATTTTCTTTGAGCACCAAAATGGTGGAGAACATGAACGTGAGTGTTGTCTTTCGTTTCAAAACAAAAAAGAGGAAAAAGCCGTCAAATTAGGAGAAAAATGATTTTTTGAATTTTGAGCCGATTCGAGTTGATCACCTTCGGTCGAATGGAGGTCAACTATCCCACCCCAGGGATTTGTTGTAGAACCACTTTTTCTTGAAGAAGAAGACCCCTAGTTTCATAATCAGAAAATAAAAAGTCGTACCATAGGGGGTTCTTACTCTAGTTATGGCTCAAAAAAACTGAAAAAAATCGCTGTTTTTTTGAGGAAATTTCGATTTTTTTCTCCCCGAAGAAGTCGAGTTAGAAAAAAAGTTGCAACTGAAAGAAAATACTCAAAATAGTGTTTTTCTTACATTTCCAAACATTTTTGAATGAAAATTCTCAACAGGAAAAAAATTAATTTTTTTCAGCTTACTGTCTACAGTATCTTTTAAAAGGGGCGGAGCCACCTGGAACCTGGTGCTAAATAATCAGAAGCACGTGTGTGAGCCGTGATCACATTTTGAGGCAAATCAAAAAAAAATTTTATTTTGTTTTGCTTTTTATTACTGAAAAGTCATCGATTTTCTCAGAGAACGTGTGTTAAATTTCTAGGCCTTGAAAAACAACATGGAAATCACTTTCAACTTTCTTTTAATTATCGGCCTTAAAAGGATGTTACCTAAAGGATTTTTGCGATTGGGAATTTCCTGAAAATCAGGCAGAACACTCCTTGATGCACTAAATGAAGATCCTGAGAAACTCAATCTGCACATCTTTCTACTTTTTGAAAAAAAAACCTTAAAGTCGAAGGAAACCATCAAAATCCGTTAAAATGAACTATTGTGAGGCTTTGAACTCTCTTTTCCCGTGAATCAAGGAGTTTTTCAGGTTGAGACTTACAGAATCTTCATCTAGAATATCAAGAAGTTTCCTGGATAATTTTCAGGAAGTTCTCATCTGCAAAATCTTTTTCTATTTGCTCTGCCTTTATCTAGGGACCGCAAAGCCTTTGCGCGATAGAAAAGGGGGCTTTTTGGTTTTTTTAACTTTAATTTAGTTGTAGTTGCAAAATATGTGGAACTGGCTAATAAAATTTGACACACATGTACAGAAAAAGCTTCCTCTTTCGTTTAAAAAAATATTTCACGCTTTTTTTGATGCGTTCTCGCGGAATGTCGTACAAAAAAGTGAATGGAACTAAAAAGTTTTGTCATTTTTTGCTTTTCCATGTGTTTTCAGGTCGAACGCACTCTTTTTTTTTAAATAATGATTTTGATTCAAATAATGGTAATTTTTAAACAATAAAATAAAAAATTCGTCTGCGGTCCCTACCTTTATCAAAAGCGTTTGTCTTTTTTTGCAAGTCCTACTCATTTTTTCAAGTTAAAGTTTACCACTGCAATCGAATCTTTGGAGAAAAACTATGCTGGCAAAGATGTAGAAAGGCCCGAAAAGCAGCAGAATCGGAGATGCTGTCTGAAAGAAGAAAACAGATTTTTATTGGGGGCCTACCATTATTCGCCTTCTTTTTTTCCTCATAAAGTTTTCTAGTTCAACTTTTTAAAAAAAAAGAAAAAAATTATTTAGAAAAAAAGTTATTTTTCCTATTCTTATTGACTATAGTCTATTTGCTTTTTGGGTCGTCTGAGGGCTTTTTTTGAAATGTTCTATTTTCATACGATCTCCGAAAAATCAGAAAAGGTTTTGAGACCTAAATGGGGATAAATCAAGAAACTGAAAAGGTAACCTGCGCGACCAAACTATAAAGAGAGTTTTTCTGTATCATGACAGTTCTTCGCGAAAGAATTCCCGGTACGTTGTTGAGCATGGAAAACGTCCGACAAGCCAGATAGAACAGAAAAAACGTGGCGATTGTCGAAAAAACATAAGCCAAGCTCAGAGAGTAGATGATAATGGGATTGGAATTATGTTGGTAGAAAACAACGTTTTCCAGTGACATAGTTACAGCTTCTGGGAAGTACTGCAAACTTTTTGAAGTTTTTCAAGGATTTTTTTGTAAATAACTTTATCAATCGCCGGCTTTCGTTCATCATTAGGAAGCCGAGAAAAATGGACCAAAACTCCGATTATAAGCGATATAAGAGCAGTCATCACAACGAAGACGCGTGAGTTCCATTTGCCCACGGTTTTTCGCTGAAAGATCGTTTTTTATGGATAGTTCAATCTCAGAAGCCTAATAGGTTGTATAGAAAGAAAAAGTCTTCCTATTTGAATTTCTATGGACGCATGTTGAATGGCTGAAAGCGTTTTTCTGATACCATCACGCGCAAGTCGTTTTGAGTCGGGTGCGTCTGAAGCAACACATGTTCAGCCATTCCGCTTGCGACCAAAGTTTTCAGAATCTAAAAAAATATACCTTGATCATCCTGGCTGCATTGTCGTGCCGGTATAAGAAACAAGAGCCTATAGTTGGAATACTGAACTCTAATACAGTCACAAAAATAGCCTTAATTTCAGAATTTCCAGATAAAGTTTAAGACTCTCCCAACCGTAGCAACGTATCTATCAAATCCAACTTCGTTGACAAGAGGACCCCAAAGTTTTCCTCCGATTATTGGGAATATTGGTTTTGGCATGCAACACGCAAACGTCCAAAACTCAAGAAACAACGAATTTAGCTGAACTTCAAGAGTTGGGAAGAAAAAAAAGATGGAACTTACAATGTAGGAAAGTAACAGAAACCTGTAGGATGTTTGGATTAGTTTGCATAGAACCAAATAAATCGATAAAGAGCTGGTTACGAAGGTTAATAAAACGAGAACATGCATTAAGATAATATAGTTGGTAGGTCTGTCGTTTAAAAATGGTTCGTTGGAATCCATTTGAAGTAATAACGACAATTAGACGACTTGATCTTTGTAGCAAGTAGAATTCTACCTGCAAATACGTTAGTTTGTGGAAAAGGAAGGGTCAATAACTTAGCTGAAAGCAACTTTTCGAAATAGTAAGATGTGCAAGCCGACATTTTTTGGCCAAGTATTAGGAAACTGCCAACCGAAAAATTGAATGACGTCACTTGAGGGACAATATTGAAAAATAAGTTTAAAATCAAATATGGGAAAAGTTTTCACTGAGCCAGGAACTACATTCCCACAAGCCATGATAAAAGTTATCCTTTCGCTAGAGAGTTTGTGTGTGAAATTATTGCTTTCTTGAAAGAACAAAACTTTCAGGAACCAATGAACAAAGTGTCGTGACATTACCACGGGGGAAGAAAACGCGAAATAACCAAATTAATGCAAATGAAACAATTCGAGCGAGGAATTTCGCAAAACGTTGTGAAGATTTGTTAGAAGGAAGTCTAGTCTAATTTTTTTCATTTCAAGTGCTTCAAATGAAAATGAATCATAGATTGATGCACTTTTCGAAAAAAAAATAATAATTCCCCCAGTTTTTGAAAATTATACTTTTTGAAGTCTGTTCGCACTTTCAAATCAAGTGAATGAAGAGAATTGCAAATATTACGCAATAAAAACGTTTCAAAAATCATTAATTTATGGGAAATGCAAAAAAAAAATGTAGATATACAGTAACATTAAAAAACGTATCAAAGAATAATGTCTTACGGTATGTCTGAATACCGCAAACACAATGACCCTTTCATCGGAATCAACAGTTTTAATTTCATTTTTTCTTTTTTTCGGCATTGTTTTCATATCAATTTTTTTTTTACCTATTTTGATGTCGCTGAGAGTTTATTTTATTCAAATTGAAGGATTTCAACTAAAATCAAACGAAAAATTTGATTGGTTTATCATTTTCCTGCTCTTACAAACAAAATGAAATTCAATTTGAAGCTTTTGATAGGGGTTTTCGAAAGGCACAAAGAATTTTTATAAAGGAAAATCCATTTGCTAGAAAAGGTGAAAAAAGAAGTTTTTGCATTTTTTTTTCTCATCGACATTTCCAAGAGTTGCACCTTTATTTTCTGGTCTTTGAATTATAGAGAGAGTTTGCACTGCGTAAATCCTATTTTCGCTAGATTTGAAAGAAGTTATCATTCAAACACGGCATTATAAACTTCCCCTCCGAATTTTGTTCGTGCTTTTATCGCTATTTTTAAAAATCTTCCACTTTTTTTCAGCTTCTGTGTGCCATAACAGTGATGAGGCTATAAATGCAAGTGATTCTTTTGCGACTTCCATCTTCAAAGGTTCGTTTTCATTTGATTTTAAAACGTTTTGCTTTATCAATCACTCTACTTCGAATGAAAAGTTTAATACCCGGAATTGTTTCCTAGATAAATGCCTTTTTTGAATTTCTCATTTTTAGCGGTGAAAAAATATATTTATTGAAACTCTACAATATAAATATATACAACACCGACATAACAAGACGCGAAAAAAAAAACTTATAAATTGTTACATTTCACTATGGGAAATTTAACTTCAGTGAAAAAAACAACAAAAATCATATCATATCAGAAGTAAACACGACTTTGTCTCAAAGTCACTGTACTAGTAAAAATTTGAGATCTGTTCAAAACCTGAACTCGATCAGAATCTGAATGGCACACAGCCTTGCAGAAATTAACGATGATTTCCCGAAACCGTGGGGTCGTCAAAATCATTCCAATATTTGAAGCTGTCCCGTGTAACATCAACATAAAGGTCATAGTTATGACGAGCCCTTAAATACGAATTTTCTCTTTGAAAGAAATTCAAAAATTACCATTCCATCCATAGATTTGGAAGACGACCACGGTTGAGTATACAAATAAGGGAATGCCGATAAAAACTAACGGCGCCACTGTCTATCAATAAACAAAGTGAGGTTAAGAGTTCTTTTTTGATTACGAAAAAACCTGCGCAATCAAGCTTTGAAGGACATTTCGTTGTATGGATATGGTTCTTGGGGACAAAACGCCCTTAACGTTATTCAATATATTAAAAGTTCTAACGCCCAAGCAGAACAGGAAAAAAACTCCGGCAAGTTCGAAGCCATATCCGAAAAAGACACTATACAGAATCATGTCGTTCGTTTTGTATTCGTAGAAGTATACGTTATCCAGGGACATATTGGCCGCCTTTTGGATAGTACTGCAACATTTTCATTATCATACTCGATTCTGAGCACTTTGAACCGAGATAGGAATTTTTAAAGTTTTATTTGATTAAAAAAAACCAAAAATCAATGTGTTCAGGTTCTAATAGGTCTTTAGGGGATCAAATGGTTTTTATATGAAAAAGGACATCCTGAAAAGCTCAAAAAACTTAACTTTTCTCGACTGGGAGCCTTTCGAACCGAGATAGGAATTTTTAAATATTAGGGTGACCAATTTGACTAAAGAACAGAAAAATTCGATATTTTCAGGTTTATAATGGGTCTTGAGGGGACCAGATATTTCTATATGGAAGAACTATCTATGCAGGGCTAGTTCAGAACAAATCTATTACGGAATCTCCCAATATTTGATTTTCTTGAACTCTTTTTTCTCATTTGAAAAAATGCGCACGAGGTAGCAAAATAAGCGGAAAAACCATTAGTTTTCTATTTTGCAGCTTTTCTGTACGTCTAGACTCTATTTTTTGTTTGTTGGGTTTCTTCTAGAAATCCAGTTACAATACTCTCCCACATATGAAAAATCTTTCAAAGAACTTAATGATAAGTTGCCGTATACAAAAAAAGAACAAACTTTTTGAATTGCTTCTTGCTGTTGTGACAAAGTGAGTGACGAAGAGTTGACTAAAAAACCGTTGATAACAGAAAATATTGCAGTGATCCCAAAGAAAATGAAAGTTCGTTGTTTTCCAACAGTTTTTCCCTGGAAGTCGGAGTTAAAGGTGATATGCTGGATTTGCTTTAAGATCCTCGCAAGAAGAATGGCTCAAGCCGGACTCAAAACGGTTTGCGCTTATTTCAAGCTTTGAGCCATTCCACTTGCGACCACGGTGTTTTGAGTTGACCTTGATTAACTTGGCGGCTACATCATGTCGATAAATAAAACAGATACCAGTCGTTGGCATAACTAACTCCAGTAGAACAATGAAGATTTCCTGAGTTTTAACTAAGTTGCCGTTCCTTGAATTGTTCCTACCGTAGCTAAGTATTTATTCAGTCCGAAGTTATTAACAACCGGACTCCAAACTTTCGCCCCAACGATAGGAAACAGAGGTTTAGGTAAAATGCAGAAAATCGTGAACATTTCTGCGACCGAGGAGTTGAGCTTGAATATCCATTCAGGTGGGGAAAAATGATTTTACTTACCATATAAGTAAGGAGATAATATCTGTACGGCGTGTTGCTCAGTTTATTCTTGACCAAATGCATTGAAAAAGAGCTTGTCGACATGCCCAGTACCGCGATCAAGTATACTGTAGCGATGTAAAACGTTGGTATTTCGTCAGAGAATATGTCGATGCTACCCATCGCAACGAACTTTCAACTCGATAAGGAAAATTATTAGTAAAGACAATATTGCGGAGAACCACGTGGCCCGTTTCGTAAAGAATAACAACTTGCAAAAAATATGAAGCCGAATTAATGAGAAGAAATCTTCCAAGCGAGATAACGAATAGGGTGACGTGCCGAAAAATTGATACAATGACTCATTTTCAGTAGGAAAATGCATTCAGACAAAAAAGGTTGGTCGGTTCTTTGATCTACACTCGTAGAAATAAAAATTTTTTTTAAAAACCTCTTCAAATTTTTTTAAATTGTCATTGATTCATCAAATTCAGCGAGGCGGGTTTTATACGGAAACACTTTTTATACGCTGGGAAGCTTCTGAATTCAATTGAAATCATTTTTTTATTTTATTCTCATAAAAACGACAAGAAATCGAACCAGTTTTTTTCTATAAAAAAAGGATGACTTTACAACAAAAAACTTCAACAAAAAATGGCTATGACAAAAATTCGTTCCCTAAATGTAAGTGTTATCTTTAAAAATTTCTACACGCCTTGGATCCTGAATCTTCTTTGGTTTAAAAGGGTAGAAGACGAAATCGCGAAAACGAGGCGTTGTCGCGATGAGCGTCAAGTTGGAGGCGATCGCGTGGGCTGATACCATAAAACAGCCGACGGTTGCAAGTCCTAGAAAAAAGAATTTCACATGATTGGACTGAAATCGCTAGTTTAAGTTTTGAAGATTATATATTAATCAGTATCTGAGCAGCCTAGAAAGGGTCTAGAGAAACTGTAGCCTTTTTAAACTTTTTCGTTTTTAATCAAATAAATACTCCAAAAAATATATTCAATCACAAGGGCTGTGTGCGCGGTGAACATCGAGTTATGAATTGAGGCTTTCATGGTAGATAGACCATGGGGAGAGTGCTCCAAAACGAAAGAGAAAATCTGCTAAGCGCCATAGGGTACCGAGAAAAAGCTCGTCAAAGTTTTCCCGCCACCTTTATGCTCAGCCAGCAACTGGGAGCGTGGTGAAGTGGCAGTGTTCTTAAATGGCGCTAACGCTATGCTAGGTTCGATTTCTTTTGACGTGAATATTTTTTACGCTCTTGTTTTTTCAATTCTTCGAAACTCTATTATCAAAAAAAAACAGCAAAAAATTTTTGAATTGAAGGAGATGATTGACAATTGGAAAAAAAGAAAGGAGAAAGCATAAAAAAACTTTTTGTGTCATATTCTATTCAGACAATCTTTTCCTCCAGCCGTTTCCACAGATCAGCTGTTAGATTTATTTGATTGATTTGATTGTTTTGATGTATTATTTTTTGTATTTGTCGTGCAGATTGCGGAATGGCGAATAAACACTTGAAATGAAATATTCAGTTTTTCCAATCTTTCATCGCGGAAATTCCACCGATTGCTCTAATTTCCCTTTTTCGAAGCCCCTCTCACACCAAAAGTTTTGTTCTATTACGCAGCGAAATTTTCGAAATTTCATGGAGAATGCGAAATTACATTGACATGACTTCCTGTGCTCTTCGGGCTCGTACTCATACTTCGGTTTGATCTTTTCAGAGAATTACGAGGGATTTTTCACTAATATTTTTGCTTCGCTTTTATCGTGTTGTGATCTCGAAAGCCATGAACCAATTACCAAAAGTTTTTGTTCCGATATTTTCAATGGAAAAACTAAATTTGACGCTAAAATGTTTTTTTTGTGCTTTCTCCTTCCTTTTTTTTCCAATTTTGAATCTTCTCCTCCAATTCAAACATTTTTCGCTGTTTTTGTTTTATAATATAGAGTAGATGAACTGAAAAAACAAGAGCAAAAAAAATTTTCACGTCAAAAGGAAACGAACCTAGCATAGCGCCATTTAAGAACACTGCCACTTCACCACGCTCCCAGTTGCTGGCTGAGCACTCCGAGCGCGGCCATATAGGTGGCAGCAAAACTTTGACGAGCTTTTTCTCGGTACCCTATGGCGCTTAGCAGATTTTCTCTTTCGTTTTGGAGCACTCTCCCCTAGATCTATCTACCATGAAAGCCTCAATTCATAACTCGATGTTCACCGTGCACACAGCCCTTGTCAGGAAATCATTACCACTGCAATCGAATCTTCTGAAGAAAACAATAGTAGCAAAAATATAGAAAGGCCCGAACAACAGCAAAATCGGAGATGCTGACTGAAAAATATTTTCATTTTTGCAATCAATCTTTCGAGAAGTTTTCGTTTGAAAAAGTCGACATTGAACTAATTTTTTCTGGGAGCAATGAGGGAAATCGATAAATCTCTAAAATTCTAAATTTGCCGAAAGTCTGTTCAAAACTCTTTGGTAACTTAGAAAAAGTCTGAAAATGACTTTTTATTTTGACACTTATATCGAAATACTCGATGCCCCTTCAAACACTCGAGCAAGGCTTCTTGAAGAAATGCCAACCTGCGCGACCAAACTATAAAGAGCGTTTCTCTGAATAGTTACAGTTCGACGGGACATCACCCCAGGCACGCTGTTGAGCATAAAGAACGCTCGGACAGCCAGATAAAATAAGAAAATTGTGGCTATTGTCGAAAAGATGTACCCCAAAGACAAGCAATATACAAATGTGGGGTTGAAGGCGTGATCGAAAAATATAACATTTTCCATCGTCATGTTAGACGCTTCAGGATAATACTGAAATCTTGAAATGTTTTGAAGTTCCTTGAAAATCAAAACATCCATCGCCTTTATCCTATCGTCTTCGGAAAGCTTAGACAGACGAACAAGAGCTCCGCTTATCAGTGAACAGAGAGTAGTTATCGCAACGTAGGCGTAGGACTTCCATTTGCCCACTGGTTTTCGCTAAACTCTACTTTATGGGAATGTACTTAAAATATTGTGGTCGCAGGTGGAATGGTTAGGGTCCGCAAGCCATTTCTTCAGAACGATTCAAAAAATATGTTTTTCACATTGTTCGATAGAGGAGACTGTCCATTTTCATAATCCGTTTATTTTTTGAAAAAAGCTCCACTAAGAAAAAAGTTATGGCCAAAAAACGAGCGCGCGCGGCGTACAACTGGAGGCAAAAATCTCACGGTTTACCCGCTGCCGCACGCTTTCTTTTTAAATGTTTTTTTGCGCGTTTCTGGACCGTTTTTTAAATCGGTTTTTCTGCTCTGAGAGATTGTCCGAACTGATCCTCATGTTTTGGTATGAATCTTTTATACAATCCTCATAAGAATTTTTTTGATAAAATATCAAAAAAACTACCTAGAAAAAAAGGTCAAAGGGATTTTTTTCAGCTTATTTTTTTCTTTTTTTCTACTCAGAAAAAAATTATTATCATTCGATTTGGAAAAAAAGAAAAAAATGAAAAAAATAATGTTATTTCGAAATAAAACAGGAAAAAAAGTGCAATTTGACTCGAAAAAAACGGCTCCTGCGACATTTAAAAGGGCGCATCGGTGTGTTTGACGCAAACACTGCTACGGACGCTTGCACGAAATCTTCCGAAATTTCAAAAAAAATTGCCATTTTTTCGAGGTTTTCAAAGCCGTTATTTTTTTCGCGTCGATCGATTTTTTCATAATTTTTTCATTGATAGAGTTTTTGAACGCTTAATAACATAATCAAAGATATAGACGCGATCCTATTCTCTCATGCGTCAACGAGGCAGGCGAAAAAAAGGAGGTTTTGGTAAAACTCAAATATAATTTGATTCGCTGTCCCAATAATTGTTTTTCATTTTTGAATTTTTTTATTTTTTTGGACACACTGTTAGTTTTTTAAATCAAATAAAAAGTATACCATGTCGCTGAAATTTTTTTCGCATTTCAGCTTCAAAGTTTGGTGTCACTTTACAAGCTTTAATATTTTTCGCGTCGGTAGATTTTTTTCATTTTCACTCAAAAAAATAAAGAAAGTGTTAATGTATAACATACTTAAAAATTTAGAAGCGTTCCTCACTTGGTTTTTCTGAAACGCGACGATTTTTGTGAAACTTGTCAGTTTCTTTCGTGTTAAATCTTACTTTTTTTCGCTTATTTTTTTGAAGAATACATAGTTTTTAAAAAAATATTCAGTCTTGTAGAGCGTTGTCGATTACATAGATTAACAGAAACAGTTCATTTTTAAAGTGGGACTTTAGCTAGTATAAACGCCTCAAAACCGTTTTTGCAACAAAAAAATCGTCATTTTGGTGGCGTGAAGAGGCGGGGCTTTGCGCCCCCTAGGAATGGTTCAAAGTTCACATCAATTTGAAGACATTCCTCCTGCAATTGAGCTTTTTTGAGCTGTAGTCTCTGTGCCACGACTTGAAATTTCAACGAACGACCTTCCGCTGTTCCGCTGCGTGCGTTCGCGAAGCGTCTTTCGAATCTAGGTCACGCTTTAAATGGATTGTTGTTGCTGTGGGAGCACATGAAAGTAGAGTACCTTAATAAAAGGAAAAAAAAAAAGTTAAACGCATGACCAAGGTTCGCAAAGGCGCGCAGCGGCAGAGCGGAATGTCGTTTAGTGAAATTCCAAGTCGTGGAACACAGACTATACAAGCACTTCAATTTTTCAGAAAGTTATTAATGAACTTTTTAGTGTGGAGTTCGTAGTTTTCTCAAATTCAAGTCCCAATTCCAAACGCCCTTCTCTCTCGTGCTCAGTTTTATGTCCTGACAAGACTTCCGAGAGAAAGAGAGCCCAGACATGCCAGAATGCTTCGAGTCGTAGCGAATGGACCAATATATATATATATATATATAAGACAAATACCTTGATCATTTTTGGCCGCAGTATCGTGTCGATAAATAAAAACAAGGTCCTACGGCTGGGACCGTCAACACCAACAAAGTGACCGCGATACTCTACAAATTCGAATTTTATTAAAATAACATTTTTCGCCTCTACCGTCGCCGAATATCCATCGAACCCCAACTCATTAACAATTGGACTCCAAAGTTTTGCCCCAATTATTGGAAATATGGGTTTTGGCATACAACCAATGAATGTCCACAATTCAAGAAGCAAAGAATTTATCTAAAAACTACATTG